TCTGAGCCTGACTAGCCCTGTTCCTTAGTCACTTTATCTTTCTCATAAAGAGTTCTCAAACCCAGACCAGATGCTCATCAATCAGGCAATACCTTAGACCCAAAGGCTATCTCCTCTCACGGTTGCTACCGCAAGAGTCTCTTAGCTAGTTTGCCCTGTCTCACCTCTCACTCCGATGCTTCTGTACCAGCCATGACCTGAAAAGGGGCCTCTGATGGTGTCTTTCTTCTGTGGAAAACTCTGTGGCTTCACACTGCCCTCGACATACCTTCAGACCCTCCCCGAGTATACAAGGTCTTGCTCTCCAAATTTTGTCTATTTCCCTCTAACCTCACCAACTGCTTCTCTCCTCATTCTCTTTCCTCCATCAAGACATCTCCCGGTCTCGGGGCTTTGCACATGCTGTCCTGATTTCCAGAATTCCCCCAGCTCGTTCCCATCAACCTTTTCTGTTTTAGCATAAAAGCCACCTACGCTGAAAAGCCTTTGTTGATTAACACCAGCTGATCGGTTCCTCCTATGACCCACTGCTCTTCTTCTGATACACTCAGCATGCCTGAACTAGCTATTCAATGTCCGTCTTGAATAGAAGCCCTGTGAGGTCAGGGTCATCTGTCCATTGCTGTCTAGCTCATTGCTTAGCCTAGTTCCTGACACAGAGGCTCACCAATGAAGGCGTAGTTAATATGGTGAGGCTTTAAGCTTGGTCTTTATCTTTAGAATCAAAATTGAAACACAAATTCTAATGATTACTATACAGATTTCAAGAACTAGTCAATTTAGCTCTCTTCATTTGAGATGGTGAAGGGATCTGAAAATTCAGTGACACAGCTCCTTAAGGGACCAGACTGAACTCTCAGAAGAGAACTTGAACTGCAAGTAAATAAATGAATGAGAGAGACAGGTGCGCTCCCCAAAGCAAAAGGTTGAGTAAATGTGCAGAAAAGGACTCCTTGAAGATCCCCTTCACAGTAAAGGCAGCCCCCTGGCAAACTGTCATGCTATTCTAGGACATGGCCCCCACACTGGATGGGCCCCATCCCTCCTCCGACCCTGACAAGCTGTGTGGTCCTAGACCAGGCATTTGCTCTCTCTACATCTCGGCTTCCTTCCCTGCGAAACAAGAAGTGCCCAGGTTTCCCAGGTCTGGAATTTCTGCACAGGAGCCTCAGGGAAGAACCAGGGTGAGGAGCTTAGAAACCTTGGGGGTGTGGAGACCTAGAGGTGGATTAATCACAGTGCTCTTCATGCCAGATGCAAGGGGGAGCCCAGGTCCTCGGAGGACAGGAAGGCCTCCATCCCCTCTCCTCCCACCCCATTCCAGGCTTCTCTGATGTCCTCAGCCACCAACAGATTGGGAGATGCTGGTCTGATGTAACTGAGCATCAACCAGGGTGCACAGCACCCAGGGAATTGCCTCTGACGCTGCTACTGGTGTGGAAGCAGAGAGGGTTGGGAGGATGGCAGGAGGCAGGGGCTGCAGGCTGAATGGGTGGCCCCAGGCCTGACACCCTTGGATCCTGAAGTCCCAGGTGTCCAGGTGGCCTAGAGACCAACTGGGACAAGGGTCTCAGCCTTTTTGTCTCATGGAGCCCTCTGGCAGTTCCTTGAAATTTCTAGACCCTTTCTTAGAAAACTGTTTCCAATGCATAAAATAAAATCTGTAGGCTTACAATGGAAACCCCTTATACTAAAATGGTTTGTTGTTACTGTTTAGTTGCTGATCTGTATACAACTCTTTGCAACCCCATGGACTGTAGCCTACCAGGCTCCTTTATCCATGGGATTTCCCAGGTGAGAATACCGGAGTGGGTTGCCATTACCTTCTCCAGTGGATCTTCCTGAACTAGGGACTGAACCTGCGTCTCCTGCCTGGCAGGCTGAACCACTGGGAGGCTGTACCACTGAACCACCTGGGAGGCCCATTAAAGTGGTGACTGAAATGTTAAATTTCTGATACAGTAATATTTTTATTTCTTTTTAAAGTCAAGACTTATAACAAAACCTAGTGTCAGGTCTAATAACTCTCATAACCTAGGAGCAGTAATGAGTGCAAATAATATTTCAAAGTACCTCCAACAACTTCAGTGGGATACAAAAATATCTGAGTCCTCTTGGTAACAAAGTCCTAGAGACTTCTAATGCTATTGTGGTTTATTGCTTATATTCACAATGGGAGGAAATGCCAACTTTTTTTCCCAACCACGTGTTCACATCAAGAACTTCTACTTTAAGGCCGTGACTTGACTTTACAGAGGAAGAAACTAGAGCCCCCTGAGGGCCCGGGAGCTGAACAGAGCTAGCCAGCAAGTTAGAATTAACAGCAGACTATACAGCACGGGTCTCCTGCTGCCTCTCAGCCAAGCTTGGCTCCCTTCTTAGAGCCATATCCACATGTGTGATTTCCCAAACACATCATCCAGGACCATCCCTACAACTCCTTAAGCCTCGGTTTCCTCATCAGTAAAATGGGACCAATCATATCCATTGTGAGGACAGAATGAGAACATGAACAGGAAAGGGTTCTGTCGCCTGGACAGGGCTGTGCTTGCGTGACACAGAAGTAATCACCATACACTTTCTCATAGGAAATCCAAGGATATGAACTTTGGGCTTCAGTGAGTGGGCAGGTCCAGAGTGGCAAACCCAAATGCCTAGAGAGGTAAGACAAGAAGGAGTGGGGACCACAGCAAAATAAAGAACGCATGCCCATCTGAAAGAGGCGGCCACCTTTCGGTAACAGAGGAGGATGTCGCCCTGAAAGGTGGGCCTAGTGCTGCCCACCTTCTAAGATCTGGAGGAAATCTTTATTTTTGGCAAAATGTCCTGGTTTTTGTAGTAAGCATCTTGAAAATTAAAACAGGATGAGGGCCCCAAAACATGTCTACATGCTGTCAGTTTGCAGCCTCTGGGGTGCACAGGTATAGGAGTTCCAGAGCCTGGAAGAGAAGATCCAACAGGTCAGCGCTTTCCATAGAAGAAAGAGGATCGTCAGTCCAACCCAGCTGGGGAGGTCAGGGGGTGTCTGTGCAGCAACTGAGGCCTCCCACCAGAGACAGCTGGTCTTAAAACTGTACTCTTCGCCCCTCGCTGCTCTGAGATGGCTTTGTTTTATTAATAATCCTGGATCATGCTCACAGCACATCAAGGTAAACAGAGATGCTTCCAGGGTGGGTAATGCAGGAGGTTTCAATAGATGAAGAAACAGGCTTCCAAATATAAATAGGAAGATAAGATAAACAGATATCCAAGTCTGCTTCATGCTGATTGGCAGGCTGTAAGCCACTGACGTGGAGAACTGTGGATCATTTCGGCTGGAAGGGACCTTTTGTTCAGAGGACAGGGAAACAGGGTCAGAAATGGGAAAAGACTTGCCAAGGGTCACATTCCTTAGGTGAATACTTGTGATTTCTCATGGCAACCGTTCCCTCATCTGAAGGTTCTAACAGAGTCACGCATAGTTTCCTGAGTGTGTCGTATTCTCTCCAGCCCAATGCAGCTCTCCCTGCTCTTCCCTCCTTCATCTGGCCATCTCCCACTTGATCTCCAAGAGTAGCTTGAGTCTGCCCTGCCCTGACTCTTCCTCGGTGCCTCCATCAACCACAGCACACGCACACAGGACTGTCACTGTTGGTGTACGTGTGTGTCCCTCCAGCCAGCTGAGAACTCCAGAGGGCAGGACCCTGCCTTATCCAGCGCTGTCTACTGAGGACCCAGCACAGGGCTGGGCGCACAGGAGATGTTTTCCAAACCTCTGCTGAGTGAAGCATAAAATAAGTGTAAGACCCTCTTACAGAAGGAGAAGGAGGTTGCAAATAAAGACAGTTGTGGGAGAGCTCACCAGACACCACCTTGATATCAAGTTAACATGACAAATGATGCTAAGCTCAAGATAGTAGGCAGATTTTGGTCTATAACATCAAAGATCAGCCAAAATGCAGGTGAAGAAAAGTACATCGTGACTTTGATGGTCACTCTTGTGAACCAAAGAGATGCAAACAAATTAGTTACTGAGGGTCCAATAGGTACCAGGCTCCAGGATGGATGCTTTCCCACATGAAAGAAAGAAACTGAAGTCACTCTGTCATGTCCAACTCTTTGCGACCCCATGGATGTAGCCTACTAGGTTCCTCCATCCACGGGATTTTCCAGGCAAGAGTACTAGGGTGGGTTACTATTTCTTTCTCCAGGGGATCTTCCTGACCCAGGGATTGAACCTGGGTCTCCAGCATTGTAGGCAGATGCTTTACCATCTGAGCCACCAGGGAAGTCACCTAATTCCCAGGAGCTTTAGAAATAGGTGATACACCTATCCTGCAAGTGTGGATTGAGAAAACCAAGGTCCACCCATGACAGAAAGGACAGAGTAGGACTGAAGGCAATCCACTCCACTCCAGAGTTCTTCCCTTCTATCAAAGTCATCACTATAAGGAATAACAGAGTCCTCACTCTGCCTGTTCTAACCACAGCTTATCCCACGCAGGGACTGAATATTTGATAAATCATTTCCCCTCCCCTACTCCCTAGCCCTGATATTCCAGACCTGCCACTGCCACAGGGCTGGGGGCTTAGGAGGGGTCGATGTGGGGTCTTTCTAGTGCTCTTAGCAGGGGGAGGGGAAAAAATAAAATGCCTAAGGCAGAAGAAGCCCAATCCCCTTGTCATCCTCAGGCAATAACTACAGCCATGAAGTGGACAGGAGGGAGAATGTTCTGTTCGGCTTTCTTTAGATTTTATTTTTAAAGCATTATTTACATTTGTGGATTACCTCCAGAAAGCTCTGGTTTAGAGTACCTCTTCAGAGACAGAAGTCCTCAGGTTCACACATTCCTTCAGCAGCCTATTAGTAATTGCGCGAGTAGCAGAAGTATGGGCAAGGAAGGGGATTTGTAAATGTCACGGAAACCATTCTGATTGCTCAGTGGGCATTTCCACTGGGCGTTTCCAGCTTCTAAGTGAACAAGATCCCGCATCCAATAGTGCCCAGGAGGTTGAATTACCTTGTGGCATAAATGCTGAGGCAGAAGCTTGAGTAAGAGACTGAAACCCCAAACTGAACTAAGCTCTCCAAGTCTGTGTCTATGCCTAGACCTCACAGGGCTTCGATGATGGCGATTAAGTGCAGGATGCTGGGCAAGTGGCCAGCATGGTGCCTGACACGTGGCAGGCTGGTCTCCCGTTCCCCATCACTTTCATTTCAGAGCTGCTGGTGCTGAGCGCTGGGGGCAGCTGACGCACAGAGGTGAATCAGGACAGCAGATGTGCTATTTATTTCCACAGGCTTCACCTCTATTGGACCTTGTTGCTCCTATTTTGTCATTTGGGCTAATATTTTACAAGGCCACAATATATAGTTTTTTATGAGCCCATAAAAAATCTTCAGAATGAAAGCAAATTCACCTGCCACTCTCTGGCTTGAAGTGCCCAACACTTACACTATGCCTCCTAGGTTCTCTGTTATCAAACCCACCAACATTCCCTCCCAGCATACACCTGGGGGCCACTTTGCCTCCTGGGTTCTCTGTTATCAAACTCACCAACATTCCCTCCCAGCATGCACCTGGGGGCCACTTTGCCTTCTGGGTTCTCTGTCATCAAACCAGCCAACATTCCCTCCCAGCATGCACTTGGGGGCCACTTTGCCTCCTGGGTACTCTGTTATCAAACCCACCAACATTCCCTCCCAGCATGCACCTGGGGGCCACTTTGCCTTCTGGGTTCTTTGTCATCAAACCAGCCAACATTCCCTCCCAGCATGCACCTGGGGACCACTTTGCCTCCTGGGTTCTCTGTTATCAAACCAGCCAACATTCCCTCCCAGGATGCACTTGGGGGCCACTTTGCCTCCTGGGTACTCTGTTATCAAACCTGCCAACATTCCCTCCCAGCATGCACTTGGGGGCCACTTTGCCTCCTGGGTTCTCTGTTGTCAAACCCGCCAACAGACAACCTGGGTTCTCTGTTGTCAAACGCCTCCCAGCATGCACTTGGGGACCATCACCCCAATGCACTCACCCTTCTCTAGATGGGTTCTGCCGTTTCCCACCGCCTCACCTTTGCTTATGCAGTTCCTCTTCCGGAACAATCTAAACCCTTCCTTCTCTCCCCACCCCCTGTGAGAAGCATCTCCCTGCAATTTAAACTGCTGCCTCTCCCTCCCCAGTAGCCCAGAAGCAGCGTCATTTGTACTTTCAACCCAGCGAGTCTTTCATTTGCTGCAATGCCCTGAGGTTTCTACATACCCTCTCAAGAAAGAGAGCTCCTCTAAGGCAGGGCCAACGCAGACCCTCCCTTTAAATTCATTCATCTTCAAATTCCCAGTGCCTAGCAGGGAATCAGGTAGGCAACGAGGGCTCAGTTAGCAAGTCCTCCCAATGCCCCCGGTTGGAAAATCGCCATCAGTCATGGTGAGACACAAGATGGGGTGAGCACCAGGCAGAGTGGAGACGATCCCTGCCAAGCCTGCCCCAAGCGCATTCTGGAGTGGGCTGTTCTCCTCCTAATGAGATGCACCAACCTCCCCTCACCCCCCCACCCCTCACCCCCCACACACAGAGTGGGAGAAGGCAAATTCATTCTTAGCAGCATGGCTAGAGGGAGAGGCTGTGCGCTTTGTTACCACCGGGACTAGCTGCCCACCTATTTCTACATTCATTCAGGCTTCCAAACACTCGATTTGTCTTCCAGAAGCCCCCATCCTTAGCCACTGCTAGAAATGATATATTTGTGTGACTAGTGACGGTCCCCCCCAACTCCAAACTGGAAGGCAGTGGAAGTAGACCCTACATCATACTTTTCTGACTTCAGTTGTTTTTATAGCCTTAAGCTGCTATCCATACAAGCAATGTTGACTTTTCCACAGATTACAAAATGAAGGGTTTTTCTAGTGTTTCAGAATGTGATTCCAAAGTCAAGCGAAAATAATCCTTTGGCTTATTTATCCCCAGACCTTGTGCAAAGGAACTAGGGCTCCAGACAGAAAAAGAAAACCCAAGTTGATGAAACTGAAACTACTGGCCCCAGTCTCCCCACCCCAGTTCTTCACCACAAAGAACAGTAAATTACATGCACTAGGCCCTCTGTCCCTACCAAACTACATCCCACGTAATGCTTTCCAAACGAATAATCCTCTACTAAATCCTACACAATCGTCTCCAATGTTTGCTGGTAATGGACACCAGGAAGCCATCAAACTTGCCTCAGCTCTAAATACATTTGGGCTAATAACTCTTGTACAGAAAGAGCTCCGTTGCTGCCGATTTCAAGGCTCTGGAAATCAGACTCCTAACAAATTTCCTTTGCCTTTGTTTCACATAATCCCGCTTCTGTCTGCTTCCATGCTCTTCTCCAAATGTGTTGGGTCCCAGTGGGCCATTGTCCTCCATGAATGATGGCTTCAGGCTCGACAGACGGCCTTCCATCGATCATCACGGGGCTCCGGCGGCAACTACAGAGGCTGCTCTGTCTCCCTTGCAAGCAGGCAGAGTGATGGCCCTGCCGTGGACCTGCCTCTCCCGCTGTTTTGGGAGGGATACCAGAGTTTCTGGGCACTCTGGGGAAGGGGGCAAGGCTGCGTCACTTCCCCTTTGAAAGCATAGCCCTCCTGTTCTGGGGGTGGGGGAGACCCCATTTATGATCTCCCCTCCAGGTGGCCAGTCCCTGAGGTCATTCATCCTCTGTCTTGTAACTTGAGCGCTTCTTCCAATCAAGTTGCCCATCTTCCTGTGGAGCTCTGGGACTGTAATGAGACAATCGTGCTGAGAGTGGTTTGCAAATGCAGAATGGGCAGAAGGGTTAAAGGAGGACTAGCCGTGCTGTCAGGAAAGCCTGGGTTTGAATCTGCTCATCACTTCATGCTGAGTGACCTAGCAAGAGCCGCTTAACCTCCTTCAGCCTTGGTGTTCTCATCTGGAAAGTGGGAATAATAATGCTTGCCTCATAATATCAGCATGAAGTTCAGGTGGATACGGGGGTGACGGAAATAAAGCACAGCACCAGGCAGCCTGGAGGTACTTAATAAGGTGTCCCATCATTTTAAAAATTAATAGTATCTTAATATTAAAAATAATTCAATATTTCCCCTAAAATGCTAGAAAAGCAGATGCATGGGGAGAAATAATCATGTTGACTGTGGCTTTGGTCCTTGACCAAAGATGCTGGAACCCAAGCCTGAGAATCCAGGTGGTGCCAGTCCCAAGGCACAGCAGCACATCCCTGGGTCAAGCTCTGCCACTTGCTCTGTGACCCTGACTAAGTGATTTAAACTTTCTAAGCCTCAGTTCCTCTCTGTGCCAACTAGGATCAATAAAGTCTACTTTATAGGGCTGCAATACCAGTGAGGTAATTCAGGGAAAAACACAAGCCTTTGGTTCCTGGCATACAGTAGGTGCTAAAGAAACTTTAGGCAGCTAATGATTCTCTGGACATGTAACAGGAGCCTGGAGCACTATGCCTGGTGCTGAAAGAGAGAAGGAGGCAGAGAAGGAGGGGGAGAGGAGCAGAGGGGGAGGGGAAGAAGAGATTAAGAATTGATTCTTACTGTCACAGATTCACAGACTAGTGCAGTGATTCTCAGCCCCAGCTCATCACAGTCACTTGGAAAACTTGGGGGGAGGGGGAAATATATATATATATATTACTGAGCAGGCTCTAAACTCAGAGATCTTGATTTAATTGGTCTGGGATGAGGTCTGGGCATCAGATTTTGTAGACACTCCCCAGCATCCTCTCAGTGCATCCAGGGCCAAGAAAGACTGGCCTTGTGGGGGAAGATATGAGCACATAGATGGTTTAATAATATATGCTTAGGGCTCCAAAAGAGTTATATACAGACAGTGATAGAAACACAGATGAAGGAAAGGATAATCCCTCATCATTTAAGCTCACTGACAGCATGGGAGGAGGGCTTCATCAGAAGGAGGACCTGAGAGAAGGGCGTTCTAAGACTTTCCTGCATGATCTTAAAACAGTCAGAGCTGCAGCAAGTCGCCAACAGGGCCTGGAGTAAACCAGGACAGCAGGATAAAAAGTGAGAAAAGTTTGACTATTTCCCATGAGCAGAGCTGGGGACCCCAGCCCTGTGCTCTGTGCCCCAATGCTTGGCCAAGATCTTGGTTCAAGAGTTTCATCAGAAAGAGAGAGAGAGGAGTGGGCACTTCTCTCCAGTCAGATAGCCTCTGAGATGTCCCTTTGCTTCTCTATCAACAGCATCACAAGCCTGACAGCCAAACACTTTGGGTGACTGAAAGGTTTGATGGTTTGTTGGTTTGACGGTTTGATGGGCTTCCCTGGTCGTTCAGATTGGTAAAGCGTCTGCCTGCAATGTGGGAGATCCGGCTTCTATTCCTGGGTTGGGAAAATCCCCTGGAGAAGGAAATGGCAGCCCACTCCAGCACTCTTGCCTGGAAAACTCCATGGATGGAGGAGCCTGGTATGCTACAGTCCATGGGGTCTCAAAGAGTAGGACACGACTGAGCAAGTTCACGTCACTTCACTTGGGAGGGTCTCCTGTCCATGGTGCTGAACAGTCCCCATGCTAGAGAACCAGGCTGTTCAGGTGTGGCTGTGGTCTGCAGACAGGCAGCATCAGTGCCACTTGGGAGCTCATTAGCAATGCAGGACTGTGGGCCTTGCCCTGTCCTAAAGAATCAGAACCTGCCATTTATCATGCCCCCAGCTGATACAAGTCAAGAAATGAATTTAACGCTTTGGAAACAGCATTTCCCCCGCCCCCCCAAGGAATGAAATGGTACAGAAAATAATAAAAAACATGTCAGAGTTCATCACACTGAAGAGTAAATGTTGTTATGGCATATATTGGTATACTGAGCAGGATCCAATAAGTATTTATTACTATGAGTTGCGTTTTAAACAATGTCTGGAAGACACTGCTTGTTTCTCCTAATCCTGGAACACTAGTGACTCTTCAGTTCAGTTCAGTCACTCAGTCATGTCCAACTCTGCGACCCCATGGACTGCAGCACACCAGGCTTCCCTGTCCATCACCAACCCTCGAAGCTTGCTCAAACTCATGTCCATGGAGTCGGTGATGCCATCCAACCATCTCATCCTCTGTTGTCCCCTTCTCCTTCCACGTTCAGTCTTTCCCAGCATCAGGGTCTTCACCAATGAGTCAGTTCTTTGCATCAGGTGGCCAAAGTATTGGAGCTTCAGCTTCAGCATCAGTTCCTCCAATGAATATTCAGGACTGATTTCCTCTAGGATTCACTGGTTTGATCTCCTTTCTGTCCAAGGGACTCTCAAGAGTCTTCTCCAACACCACAGTTCAAAATCATCAATTTTTTGGCACTTAGCTTTCTTTATGGTC